ATGATGCTGAGCAACGCCGACGCCGCGCTCATCGCGGAGCGCACGCGCCAGCACGAGGCCGCCTCCTTCCCGCGCGCTGCGGACCAGCAGTCGTCGGCCGGCAAGTTCCCCAAGATTTCGGCCCGCGAGCTCGCCGGCATGGCCGACAAGTCCCTCCATCGCGCCTCGGCCCTCGGCGAGCGCGCTGTCACCCGCGCAGCCGGCATCGCCGGCCCCGCCGCCGCCGCCGCGAAGCGCGTCAGGAGAATGCCCTCGCTGGCCACTATCACAGGCTTTGGCGGAAAGAGAGCACCCGCCGATCGAGACGATGACGATAAATCCGACCACCGCCCGTCCTCGCCAGGGCCTGGACGGCCTCGCAGGCGCCATGTAGACCCTGCATCCCGAGTTGTTCATATTAATGATGAGACCAAGAATTCGCATTTTATCAGCAACTATGTTTCAACGACTAAGTACTCGCTCTGGAGCGCTATTCCTATGTTTCTGTTCGAACAGTTTTCTCGCTTTAGTAACGCCTACTTTCTTGTCGTTGGAATTGGCTACACCATCAACGCTGTCACGCCCATCTTTACTGTCGGCCGTTATTCCACGCTTTGGGTCCTGGCTGTCGTTGTGCTTATATCGGGTGTGAAGGAAACTCTGGAGGATTATCATCGATATCGCGAGGATAGACGCGTAAATCAAGCGGTCACCCACGTGGTTGGCAGCCGCGCACCGGAGGATCGATGGGCTAGCGTGCGCGTTGGCGATGTCATCAAAGTATATGAAAAGGAGCACTTGCCGTCTGATATTATTATCGTTGCATCTTCTACTGACGATGGTTTGGCGTACATCGAAACAAAACAACTGGACGGCGAAAGCAACCTCAAAGTTAAGGTTGTGCCACAGGCCATAAGCGCCGCGTTCAGCACAGAATCGGTTGCTCTTTTGACAAAGGGTATAATTGAATGCGAAGCTCCGAACGATCGCTTGTACAAGTTTACTGGACGAATGGTCCTCCATAGCGTTCCTGCGATTGCCACCAATTTGATAGATGGCGATGACAGTGACGATACAGCTCCATCCTCCCGGGTAGCTTTGAACGAGCCTGTCTCCCTCGGGCCCGAAAATCTCCTCATTCGTGGCTCCTCCGTTAGGAATACAGATTGGGTCATGGGCGTTGTTGTGAACACTGGCAGGGACACAAAATTGATGCAAAACGTGAAACCAAGACCACGAAAGAATTCGCGTCTCGAGAGGGAAACAAACAGGCACTATCTTCTCACGGTTCTGCTGCAAGTTTGCATTGTGGTAGCATTAACAATCCGTTCAGCACAGGCATGCAATGTTTTGTTTGACAAAGATAAGGGTCGATTTGCGTGGTACCTTTTCGAAGATGATGGTTGCACTCCAAAAGACGCCTTTCTCCGCCTATTCACGTTTTTCATCACATTTTCAGCTCTCATCCCTATATCGTTGTATATTTCCATGGAGATCGTTAGAGCGTTCCAAGTGTATTTCATAGAACACGATCAGAACATCGTGGACCCAGAGACCGGCGTTGGCACGGAGGTGCGAACTTCGAACTTGAATGAAGAACTTGGCGTGGTGCATCACGTTTTCACAGACAAGACCGGTACCTTGACGGCGAATCGCATGGAGTTCAAGAAATGTTCTATCGCAGGAAGGGTCTACGAAATGGGTACATCGCCAAGCGCCGGAGCGACGAGTCTTCAAGACTTGAGGGAAGCCCTGCAGGCTGGTGCAGAATCCTCTGCGGTTCGTAATTTCTCCGTTGAAGAACTCGAAGCGGCAGAAACGGCCTTCCGATTGCTTTCGATTTGCCACTCTGTTGTTGCAGATTCAGCAATGGACAATGACGGAAGTCGAAGCGCATCAAATACTGATGAGGTGGGGGATGCCAGCAGTGGGAGCACCGCTATTCGACAAAGGCGCTTGCGGAGAAGGCGACAACGAGCAGCAGCAGAAGGAGGGGAAGATAGTGACGGTCAGGCCCATCGAAACAGGGCGCGCCAATCCTCCTCTCTTGTATCGGCTTCAACGATCACAGGGGCTAGCGCAGCAGATGAGAATCAGCGAAATTTAAGTTCTCTGAATGGGTCGAACAACAATTCGGGAGTGATCAGTTATCAAGCGTCATCTCCTGACGAGGCGGCACTAGTGAATGCAGCACGTATTCTAGGCTTCACTTATTTATCAAGGTCTAATCGTGATACAGTTATTGATGTATTCGGACGAAGCGAGACACATGATTTAGTGGAAACAATCGAGTTTGATTCCACGAGAAAGAGGATGAGCGTGATAACTCGAGATCTGGATGGCAAGCTAAGGATCTACACAAAGGGCGCAGACGCCATCATTTTTGCGAGACTGGCTGAAGGGCAGTCACCCGATGTCACTGAGCAGCATCTTCATGAATTCGCAGTGGAAGGATTGCGCACTCTTTGTCTTGCCTATGCAGATCTTGATGACGATTGGTTTCAAGATTGGCATCGAAGATATCGGCACGCGAATTCCGAGTTAATCGATCGTGAAGAAAAAGTTGCTGCAGTTGTTGACGAAATCGAACGTGATCTTACCTTGCTGGGTGCGACTGCTATCGAAGACAAACTCCAAGATGGTGTTCCAGAGACTTTAAAGAAGCTGGAACAAGCCAGCATCAAGGTATGGGTACTAACCGGGGACAAACAAGAGACAGCCATTAATATTGGGTTGTCATGCGGCGCCATTGACGAAGGCATGGATGTCGTGATCATCAATGAGGACAATCTCGAAGATACAGCTGCGCAGCTTGACCGGGCACTTGGCAGGTGGAGCGCCATGCGTACAGATCCAGCAATGGAACGAAAGCTTGGCCTGGTCATTGACGGACAAACATTGCATTACGCTCTCGAAGAGGAACTCCAGAAACGGTTTATGGTAGTGACAAACATGGCTCGATCAGTCATCGCTTGCCGTGTGAGTCCGAAGCAAAAGACTGAGATTGTCGAGCTGGTCCGCCGGCTTGACAAGGACAAAGTTACTTTGGCTATTGGAGACGGCGCTAATGATGTCGGTATGATTCAAGCGGCCCATGTGGGGGTGGGAATTGTGGGCTTGGAAGGGCAAGAGGCCAAACTGGCCTCAGACTACTCTATTGGTCAGTTTCGTTTCTTGGGGCGTCTAATGCTAGTCCATGGCAGATGGAGCTACAAACGGCTCTCAAAAATGGTCTTGTTCACAATATACCGAAATGCGGCGCTGACTCTTTGTGAGATCTATTGGGCATCCTTTTCAGCATTTTCAGGTCAGCCTCTCTTGGATCCCTGGATGGGGGGTCTTTACAATTTGCTTTTGGCATCGCTTCCTCCCATTGTCCTCGGTATATTCGATCAGGAATTGACTGCCGAATATGCGCTTGCTTTCCCTGAAATCTATTCAAAGGGGCAAAGAAACACGGCGTACAACTTTCGCGTCTTTTTGAGCTGGATTCTCTCAGCAATATGGCAATCAGCTGTAGTGTTCTTTGTTTGCTTCTGGGGCTTTGGTGACATTCCGCAGGCCGGTGGGCAGATGCTGGGAATGTGGGCATTCGGCACAGTCGTATTCTCGGTAGTGATTTTCACTGTACATGTCATGCTACTTGTGTACCAGAGTTCCTGGACAAAGCTTTCAGCGTCCTTGTTCTTTGTCTCATTTTTTTCATGGTTTGTAGTGGGATCTCTCTTCTCGCTGAGACCGGTCGCTTTGACTAGCAGGCTCTCTCCTCCACTCTATGCAGTGGTTCATCGGGTATTTGCGGACCCAAAGTTCTGGCTTGTCTCACTGTTATGTCCGGTACTTTGCGTCAGTCCTGCTCTACTATGGAAATATAGCAAACGGCGCCGCCGTCCGAACATGAAAATGCTCGTCCAGGAACTCATTCGGTCCGGCAAGACAAGAGAACAGATTACTGGAGAGTCTCCCATGCCAATGGCGAGAACACCAAGCTACGATCCGAGTAGACGTGGAACTCCAGCGGCTGCACCGGTTACTTTCGTTGTTGGGGGTGAAAGGGAATATTTATTCTCCGGTTTCAATTTTGATGTTGGTCATAATGGCGCAATGTTACGACATGCATTCCATTCCTCATGGGGTGCGCGGAGGAAACGAATGCGTGTTCTCAAGCGCGCTGGCAGTGACACAGAACTGGATGTAGAAGGAGTGAAGACAGCGGAAGCGGAGAGTCCGGAGTCATCTACGCAAATGACCCACAAATGGGTGAACAATGGTGGAGCACGCAATAATGGCGAAGACCAACCCATTCCTGACCGGCGCCGCCCATCAAGACGACCGGGCCAACAAGGCCCTCTGGCTAGTGAAGGCAGAGACGACCCAGAGTGGGAAGACCGTGTGGCTGATACTGGACGCCCCCAGAATGCAACTCATAGACGTGCAATTAGCGATGGCGCCGTTTTGGTCGAAGCTCAGTTCGACAGGTTGGACCGGAGGCAGCATAGTGGGGTTGGGTATGATAACGACGACACTTCTGATGAGGATGTGATCAGACGGGACATGTAACTGAACAAGAAGATGAGCAGTGCCGTTCGTGTGGATACCAATGGCGACAAGACTAAGTAGTTGTAGAGTGAAGCGGCTCCTGTTGGATAAAGTTTCTGAACGTGGACGACTGCCTTTCATCGCACGGACTTTCTGACAAAGTTTCTTGAAGGTTCATGTTTTGTGCTGGGTGAACGTCTTTGTACTTCTATTCGCGCAATATGTTTACCCTACCAGCGACGCAATAGTCAACCAAATCGGGGTTGCGGTTGCAACACACAAATCTGTTTGTTGACGTTCGCGTGCTACTTGTCCTAGGCTAGACGTGACGTGCTTCTCTGCCTACTTTCGCGTCCCAGAACACACGATGGACCGCACAGTATGTCAGGCCTGGACAACTCTGTTCTGCCCTGTGTGCCGCACGACACCTTCTATCTTAGAATACAACTTTCCTTCACCATTTGTGGCCGTTGGCAAACCATATCCACGAGCCTCTCTCGTGACAGCCTCTTTTCGTCATTTACGTATTTCTCTGGACTCATCTGAGAATGAAAGTAATACCAAGGTCAACTGCATCACTTTTGGAAATAGAACGATGATAGACGCTTTCGATTTCTCCCCGG